ACTGAGGGGTAATTTATAATAAAAAGTTAACAAAATATTACCACTTGAACTATATTATTTATGTAACGGTTTTTTTTAACTATATTATTTATGTAAAGTACAGTTTTTTATGGAAGGTACATGAACACTTGGCGCCTTTTTTTTTACCTTTTTTTAAAAAGGTAATTTTGTTAAGATATCACACATTTTGTAGTGTTAAACATCTTATATTCTTATATGATTAATAATATATCTCTTCACACGTGTGCGTATTACTAGAACATATTATTTATTATCAACATTTTCTAAAAATAATGTAGAAATGTTTTTAGCAGCTCTAGGTCATTGTTTTTTTGTAACTTGTATATCATCAGTTTCAATCCAAAGTGAACCTTCTCTATACATATTTATAAAATGATCGTTTTCGATACATGAACCATAATGAAATATAGCATTCATAACTTTATACGGCTGTCCAGCTATTAGTATTTCACTTGTTGGAAGAGCACATAAATTAATTTTTTGTGTCACCTTCACTAATGTTCCATTTGGCATGAAAATGAAATTAAATGGATAATTATCTGTTTCGTCTCAACGTTATTTCATTTTTAAATAATATATCATTTCCCTCACAACGTTCACATAATTTATTATTTTATTTAGACCAATGTGAAAATCAAGTATTTAGTAAATTGTTAAGATTAAAACTTTCCTTGTTAGAATTGTTAACAAAAATTGAGAAAATAAAATTATTATTAGTAGTAACTTTTGTATCACCACATGTTATGCATCGACAAGTAGAAATAATTTGATGCTCAACCAAATTTTCCATAAAATCATATTTAGTACAAAGAACTACTACAAAATCAAATGCATCTCATTTAATACCAGTCGAAAAATACTCCCCTAGATATTTCCGTATTGCGTAGGTACTGAAATTAAGTACATTTTCCGTTTTCATATCGATGCGCTAATATATTTGAAACATTTAGTTTATCAGAATTAAATAATTGTTATCTAATAATACTTAAATGAAATAAACATTGTAATGTAGCATTGGCATAGCATGAAACTTTGTCAGTATTTTGAAAACCACGTATAACCCAAGAAGTAGTACTTTGTCGAACTTTTTGATCTGACTGTTGAACGGAAGTTATTATTTTCGGTAATGTCCATGACACATCTTTAATTTTACGATAA